TTGAGTGAGTGATTCTCGGAAGAGTATCATCCAGACTTTTGTTCCAAGAACTTTGGATTGAATAGGTTTTCTATTTCTTTAGTTTTTAAGTGTCTTGGTTGTTCAATGCATGCGACTGCATTGTAGTGCGTATTGTTGTCTGTGTCCGTTGTTTCGAGTGTGGCTGATTGTACTGTGTAGTACGTTGTTTAATTGGTGGCATATTGTACTCAACTATTGTGGAGTGTGCATACTTGTGTATTGTTTTTGATCTGCCATTATTGGAAATATAGTTTTGTTTTGTTTATCAACTCTCGGCTCTGACTTGTTCGTTGGGCCACAGCCAACGTCCGCTGGCGCACCAAATAGGACCACTTCTAAATTGTCCACGCTTTCGTGGTGCGGTTCCGGGGGTCAATACTTCGGCCCTTGGAATTAGCCCGGCGATCGCCTCCCTAATTAACGGGACCTGTGACAGGCCTACATGTAAGAAATGCAAGAAGGAAAGTCTTGCTATAAATATAGAGTATCTATAAGAGGATGGCTAATATTGCAAACTGAAATGATTTCGCGGTCGGACAGTCTTATACAACATCCTGTATACACGCAGTACTTTTTTTAGTTTCCATAAATTTTGAATAAAACGTATACGAAATCAGGAAAAAATGATAAAGTCACCTTCGTAGATAATAAAAAGAGGCCAGTGGTTTGCACATTCAGCAAATACAGTGAATGATGAACATAAATTAGGGTAATAGCGTCTATTTCTGCAGCTTTGCACAAATGAAGCTGTGATGGAGTACTGCATGTTAGCTGACGTGTCTATTTTTGCGCAGATGTGTGACGCTGGGTCTGATCAAGAGCCGTGCCGTCGACACGGGTGACCATGCACTGTAACAATTGCAGCTCATGCAGGGCAGTACCTCCTTCACATTCGCGCAGATAGACTGTGTTATTCCCAGCCACCTCTTTCCCCGAAATCAGGCTAAAAAAGTACACGTGACGAACACGAGCCGCCATTGCCACTCCGGTGAGCGATCTTGAAGAAAAGAAGTGCTGCGCAAAGGGATACACAAGCGCAAAGCGACTCTCTCAACTTTACATGTCATATGGGTGTAACTGGCAGGTATTATTAGGAAGCTTATTTCAGAAGTTTCAAGTTTTCAAATCGCGGTTTGGACACCCTACAAGTTATTTTTTTTCGCAGTATTTTCTTGATCGCAACAGTTAAAGCGCTGAGGAGCCTTTTCACACGTCGAGTGGTGCTCATGATACCGCCACGTGTAACCACCGCCGCTCTAGACTTGCTAAAAAAGAAAAAGACAGAGAAAAAAATTCCGGCCCAGTTGACCAAGATTTGGAACAATAGGGCGAGCCTTCCACACATCACCCATCTCCTCCCCTCCCCCCATATTGGTCAACAGCCTCAGGAGGAAAAGGGCACCACCCTTGAATGACGCAGCGAATCTGCATTTGCTTCGCGTCGAACTGTTACCATGAATCCATCCTTTCCGAAATTTTACTGTACTTTTTATGACTACTACTACTACTACTACTACTACTACTACTACTACTACTGCTACTACTACTACTGCTACTACTACTACTACTACAAGTAATAATAATAATAATAATAATAATATAGGCTCTCAATGTAGTAGTATGCGTTGCGATCAACAAAAAAGTGATCAATATTTTTGGTAATCTCAGGTTGCAAAACTTTTTCGCATCCATGAAGAGAATGCACGTGTCCTACTTGACTGCTACACGCTAATGAGTAGCAGATATACATCCGTGTGCACCGTTCTAAAGCATGTGCGCCCCACAGTCAGTACCTGAAAACATTTACTTTTTATGTAATACCAAGCTGCTCCACAGAGTGGAGCATTTTGCAGAGCATCTTGTAAGGCCCATATTGACGAATGCGTCTTGCAGAAATATACGCACAAGAAAGCTACAGAAAACGCACTAGAGCACGCACGCACACACACAAACACACACGTACATTTTGTGCGTTCAGACCCTGATATTATTGTAGGTGTCAACATTCATTATCATTTATCCTTCATTAAGAGTGCTCAATACTGGATCAATTAAATATGTAATGACTGCGACTCAGTTGAACATTTCTTTACGTCTGTCAATTAGGAATGTATAGAGTGAGAGTGAATATACTTTTTTCACCCTCGTGTCAATTAAATTTTCATTGAGTGTACTCATGAGGAGATGCCGCCTAATTCAGCATCTATTGAGTCAAAAAAGCCTAGATACGTGGTCAATTGAAACCTAAAGGGCTCTGTTGTAAGGACATTGCTGGCGCCATCTAGAAGCGGTCATAAAATATTGATTTTCTCCGAAGCAGCCTCCAAGATTATAACGCTGAGAAAAGCTCGGATGCTGCAAATCGTGTTCTACCACTTTGTTTCACCCGTGCTAAAAGGCGCAACATATCCATAATATCTCTCGAGCAACACCACACTTTTAATAATCCTACAAGAATTATTGAACATGCCTCACTCAGGCGTGAACACCTTTGAACTGGTACTGCACGTATACTTGCACCTCATAATCACATCGTGGTTCAGGCACGTAATAAAGACGTACGTGTTAATATTGACAATCAGAACTTTTAGATGCATCCTGAGGTTCAGTGCACACATGCATGCTCGCGTGCGTCGGAGGCAGTGCTGCAAATCAGTTGCTGCTCGTTCAATTCTGCATTTTCTCAGTTGCCATGTTTTATGACCAATCAATCAATCAATCAATCAATCAATTATGATAACCATCTATCAACGAAAATTTTTCAATAAAGTATCTGCAAAGCAATTAACAAACCTAATAAGAACAAGTCTTATCACAGAAAGAAAAATCACCTAAAATAAGAATGAACAAAGGAACACTCGACACGCACTTCCGAACGATGTCAGAAAATCTTTCAGTGTCATTAGGGCAGGGTGACATTTCGAAAGGGAGTTTTGAAGTTTGAATGCAGAACAGTTATAGTAAAAGGTGCAGTCATAACGTTTTTAGGATATTTTAAAAGTAGGCGCTGCTTTCGTTGGCGCATAAAGTCTGTCTAAAATTAAATTTATTAGTATTTTATTTTGGTTGTATAAGTTTTCTTGTAATGTACTTTTTGATAACATGTTCTATTTATAGAGAGATGTGGTTTCGCACAAAGGAAGGCGCTGGCGTTTTAAGGAAAGGAACTAAATTATTTAGCTTGCAAAAAAACACTAGATTTGTTACTTTACCTTACGTTTGCAAAACTATAAAAGCTACCACTCAATAGTGGGTTCTTAACGCTGAAAAAAATTACGAATGTACATAAGCTACTGATCCTGTTTCGAATTATAAAAACAGCTCTTCTTAGCACCAGTAAGAGTTTCGCTTTGTTTGCTTTGAATAGTTCGTGACAAGAAAGTGCACAATTAAAAAAAACACTTCTGAGCAAAACACAATGCCTGTTAAAATGTCGAAAAAATCTAAACATACTTTTGATACCGTCAGCCGCGAAGTCTGCCATATATTTCTTAAAAGACAAAGAAATGAACGAAAAATTGCGCTAAAATAGGAAGACGCCACAGATCATGAAAACTAAGCAGACAAAGCGAAATTTAGCCGATCTATTTACTGTTTCTTCGTTGTGGTGTCGTTTTCTTTTTTGGTGCAATTTTTTCTGCATAGACTGAAGCAACTAGCCCCCCTAAACGCCCTTAAAAAAAGTGCGTTCACCGTGGTTGTGTTGAAGTTACGGCGCCTCACTGCTGACCCAAAAGCCATGGGTTTGGTTCTGGCCGCAATGAATGATCGCATTTCAATAGAATCGAAAAGGTATATGCCCATGTACTGAGTGTTATCGTTGCGTCTTAAAGAACACCAGACGGTCAAAATATCCAGAGCCCTTTACTACGGCACCTTTCACAATCATATCGTGATTCTAAGACGCAAAACTCCATGTAATAACAGCTTTAAGGCCTCCGTGTTTTTATTACTAGTGTTCAGCATTATTATTTGTAGAGTCAGACTATGACTAGGGTAAATGAAAGCGAACATTTGTGTCTTTCAGGTAAATCAGCGAAACCGAGGGCTTCTGTCAAAATAAAGGCTTAAAATTATTATGGACCACCTGAAAGGGCACCATCCACAAGCACCATGGCGGGTATTTTACAAAACATTTTAGCGAGTACCATCGGCCATCTTAGACAGCGTTACGATCAGTTACAATTAAGGCAAAAGATGAGTGCCAATTCATCTTCTGACAATTGGTGGTTCAAAAGTAAAAAGGCAGTGACGGCAATAGTGCTTCTTACATGACATACCTTCTTTCGCATTTTGCTCTCCTTTTCACGGAAGGCTCTGGCTGCTGGCTTTCGTTCCGGTGACAGATCTTTCACCTATGACAAGAAACGATAATTTTGGGGGACTGAAATATAAATGTTTAGGGCGAGCAGTTTCACGCACTTTGATTGGATTCGTCCTGTATAGTTGCAAGCCTGAGGAAAAAAAACGTGTTCGACACACGTTAGCGCACACCGCAATCACTGCTGCGAGCCGTCTTAGGCGAAGCTCAGTGCCAGCATCAAGCTGAGATAGGGGAAGCCGATGGTGTCTGCTCCTTTTCCAACGTAAGAAAGATTTTCCTTTTTCTTTCATTGCATTAGGTATAACGACCCAATGGCAGTGAGCAAATTGACACATCTTACTTTCTCGAACTATTTACAGTGATTTTTATTCACATATATAATCACTGTCTTGCCACGATTTTGTCGAGGCGGAATTCACCTACGAAACTAGTCGGTGCCATTCCAGAGGTAGCTGCTTTTCATAACAGCATAGTATGTTGCCTAGCGCCACTGCTTGCTCCTTTCACAACAAACAGGGTCAGCGAAAGTTATCGCAAAGTTGCTAGCGCTTGCGTCATCAATTGGTAAACACGTGATTTCATAGCCGAGGGGTGTTGCCGGCTCTAATAAATAAACGCAGCAATCGTCTGTGTCGCGCATACGTGTTCACAGCATCGATGGCGGAGGGTGATCCAGACAATAGACGAGGCTCTCATAGGGGAAGAGGATCTGGACGGGGAGCACGTTCTAGACGAAGTGAAGACATTGAAGGCCATCGGCGAAGTGAAAATCTTGAAGGCAGTGGAGGAGGTCAGAGCCGTAGAAGCCCTGGAGGCAGTGGAGGCGCTTGGAGCGGTGGAAGTCCTGGAGGCAGTCGAGGCGCTTGGGGCGGTGGAAGTCCTGGAGGCAGTGGAGGCGCTCGGGGTGGTGCAAGTCCTGGAGGCAGTGGAGGCGCTTGGGGCGGTGCAAGTCCTGGAGGCAGTGGAGGCGCTTGGGGCGGTGGAAGTCCTGGAGGAAGTGGAGGCGCTTGGGGCGGTGGAAGTCCTGGAGGAAGTGGAGGCGCTTGGGGCGGTGGAAGTCCTGGAGGCAGTGGAGGCGCTTGGGGCGGTGGAAGTCCTGGAGGCAGTGGAGGCGCTTGGGGCGGTGGAAGTCCTGGAGGCAGTGGAGGCGCTTGGGGCGGTGGAAGTCCTGGAGGCAGTGGAGGCGCTTGGGGCGGTGTAAGTCCTGGAGGCACTGGAGGCGCTAGCAGCGGTGGAAGTCTTCTAGGCAGTGGAGGCGCTAGCAGCGGTGGGAGTCCTCTAGGCAGTAAAGGCGCTTGCAGCGGTTCGAGTCCTCTAGGCAGTAAAGGCGCTAGCAGTGGTGGGAGCCCTCTAGGCAGTATAGGCGCCTGGAGTGGTGGAAATCCCTTCACTAAAGGCACTGCGAGTGGTGGAAGTCCCGGAGGCAGTGGAGGTGCTTGGAGCGGTGGAAGTCCCGGAGGCAGTGGAGGTGCTTGGAGCGGTGATAGTCCCGGAGGCAGTGGAAGAAATGTTGCACAAGAGCGAGGTGAGTGAACAGTTCGTCATTTATTAACTATGAATTCTCTGAGTTGATCGTTTGCTCCGAAACGCGGTGTGTCACCCGGACGTGCGGATTTCTTTAGGAAAGCCCGTCTTGCTCACGGTAAATTGTCTTTACCACGTTAAATACGGTGCATCTAAGTAGTGCCGTGATGGCGGCTTCTTTGTTTAAAGGCGTACGTACGGCACAATCTCATTATCTCCCACTTAGTATGGTGCTGTGTCCCAGTTTTAAATAGAAGTTTTCCCACCACGTCTCCCAGGCGAAGCGCCAGGGACCAACGTTATGGTGTGTTGGTTTTATACGAAAACCAATGAAACATGCGTACAATGAAGTGCGAACTAATAGTATCGACAGTTCTTGGTAAAAGCCGTGGGCCACGCTTACTGACATAACTCAAGGCGCATGCCAATGAATGTTATAAAACGATTCGCCTTCCGTGGTATCTGTAGATATATGCATCATCGCCTTCTCTCGGCTGAATGCGAATCCCGGAAGCTTAGAGAAATTAACTGCATCGTGGTGTGAACAATGCATGTCTATGAAGCCATAATTGCGTAGGTTACAGCCACTATTTTTGCCTGAAATGTTTCTTGCACGATTTTAAGGGTGCTTTTGAATCGACATGCTTGCTCAGCGGGAAAAAACGAGGTGATAAGAAGCAAAATAGTACTGGGTGCCGTGTTGCGTCATATCTGCAGTTTTTTTTTATTTGTGCACACATTTCAAGTGCAACGTACCACTTGACCTTGTATTACATAGCTGATGTACCTGACATGTGGTGTGACCATATTCGGTATCATTACATCGTCCTCCGCTTATTTTTGCAAATGGCTCTGCCTGACTTCACGGGGTTTTCACTCCGGACAACTAATCCTGATGGTGCCGTCATAGTGTCGATGTGCACAGCCAAGAATCAACGTGGTGCTGGACAAAATATAACGGAGCTAGCTTGCCAGTACACTACCGAAAGTTTATTCCGAGCTTTACACTGCTTCATACGCTTCAGCGTGATCGCATTCACGCAGGTTGATGCAGCCACTGATCATTTCATAAACAATAAGTCATACCCTAAATATGGGACAGTGGTGCCGCATCCCGTGAAGAAATCAAATTACAAGCAGAAATCCTAGCCTTTTCCTCGTGGAGCTGTAGTCGCCAGCAAAAGCTTCGACAGTGCCACAAAGCCAGCCACGTGTGTCGTTTAACACGTGTCCAAGATATAGCGTTACATTCATATCGCAATACCTGCATATGGTTATCGTGCTAACGCATCTATACATGTATATCAATACAATCACGCATTTCTGATACCACGTACTTCACACAAGCTACCCAACTTCCACTTGTATCACCAGCTTGGACAGCCGGCTATGATAATACAGACTGCCTTAGAGTGTTATATCCGGCCGCCTGAGCAGATCGTCGCTATCCCCCTTACATGGCACAAAAAGGAACTCTGGCGCTCATCTTAGGCCTCAAGTGCTCTACCACTAGGCCGCGTGATGGTTTCTGCAGGCTTCTGAATAAGACATCGTGGATGTCGGTCACCCAGTTTCGCGCTGTAAGCTCACTAGAGACTTTCTATTGTACACGTGTTGCTATAAAAATGTCGCGTCTAGCACATAATTGCATCAGGCGTCACGCCATGTCTGCTCAGTAATCTTTGCTTTCCTTCAGGTTTCAAAATAGCTATGTGATTATGGGGAGGCGTCGTCATGGAGACCTTCGGAAATCGTGACCACCAGGGATTTTTTTTTTTGACCGTGAACTACACCTAAGCACCCGGGCCTCCAGCCTTCGAAACGATATTGGGATTTGATGCAGTGTATATAAAGTAACGCAGGCTTAAAAACCAAAGCCGTTATGAGCTCAACCCCATGACTGAAGATTTCCTATTCCCCTCACTATGGCGTGCCTCGTACTTCTAGACATAAGCCGCGCGTATTTTCAGTAGTTTATATCTAGCTGGAAATTGTGCTACTGTTTCGCTTTCTGCACTACCAACTCCTGTGGCGCTCAGCCTTGTAAAGCGAGACCACACGCACACACACGCACACGCACACACACACACACACACACACACACACACACTGTTAGGCTTTGGCTGTTCATTTAGCTTTCTGCACAGCCGGCTCCTGTGGCGCTCAGCCTTGTGAAACTACAGACTACACACACCCACAGGCAAAAAAAAAATTAGGCCTTGGCTGTTCAATGCCTTGAACTGGAAAAAATTACCTGGACAAGCTATCGGGCACGTGATCTTATCGAGAAGCTAGGCTTATCGTTCTCGGCGGGAGAATCGGTCGCCCACTTCGGACTAGGAACGTGGTGCGACTCGAAGGATCGTGATAGTATTTCATATCTTACCGATATGTACAAAATATGCAACCGGTTGCTGTGGGAACTGTACACCGTAGTTGTGCAACGCCTACCAGCACCATTTTTTTTTTCAATTTCGAAGTCCGTGCAAGCTATTGAGATTACTGCCTGCCGTATCGTCGCCAAGCGTCACCTCATTCTTTTCGTTGTTTTTTTTTGTCGCAGAAATTCTCCTGCTCACGCGCGGTACTTTCTCAGTTTCATTTCGTATTTGCGCTGCCATTTTATGCGGCCATTTCCAAAGTGAAAGGAGTTTTATTTCTAACCCAATTTTTATCGACAGCCAGTTGTTCCTTTATGTTGAGCATGCCTAATCACAGCATAGAACTTCTTTCTCTCGTAGTAAACTACGTGGGCTTTTCTATTGCAGATAACTGCGACAGACTTACAGCAGTCTTCTTGTTCCTCTAACCAAACAACCATTGTATAATGCATTTAATTGCTGTTTCTAAGACAGTGAAACATTTGGGCATCTGCACTTCAGTAAAGTGCTAATATTGATTGTATTGTTGATTCGCTTGATAAAAGTAGCGCAAACACTCTTCCTGCAGAAGTATAACTACAGCGAACCTGCTCCTAGGTGTTTGTTACCGAGGCTCTCCCGTCTCGAAATTGAGAGATTGACAGACGTCTCAGTGGAGGGGATTCGAAAATTTGGCCGTCTGATGTTGTTCACGAAGCAAAGACATCGCAAACTACATGGGCCTCTACCCTTTCGCCTTCATGTAAATGTGACCTCCGCAGCCGGAATCAAACCCGCAACGTACTGGCCAGTAGCCGAACACCATGACACCCATGCCACAAAGATGGACCGGATCTCCGCCCCTCCTGTATTCTTTGCCTCGCGTTTCTATCTTTTCGCGATTCTTTTCCGTTGCTGCATACTTATCCACTCATCAGAGCCACCGTGAGACGTCGATTTAGCACTGACCCTCTTGCCATCATTTCTAGGCTTGCGTAACCACTACACACTATATGAACAAAGCTCTTGAGTTCGCTACTTCAGCAACCACGACACCTTCGAAAATTGCAACCCCGCCTTCTATACTCCTGGCCGCTGCGCATCTGTACCACTCGCTAGGTGAAATCTATGCTGCCCCAAAACTGCAGTTCCACCAGTGGTCTTTCCAAAGTGTCTAAGTACGGTCCTACACGAAGTGTGTTCTGCATCAGCTATTTCTTTTTCTATCGCGACATACTTGTTCACAATATTTTCTACATTAAAGATAGCATAAAGTGCACCGCTGTGTGTGTACAATGCGTTGCTGCATTATCGACGCTGACAGTGGTGCTTTATGCCCCACCGCGGTGGTCTATAGTGCTCTGCTGCTGACCCGCAGGTCGCGGGATCGAATCCCGGCTGCGGCAGAATTTCTGAGAAAGGCGTAAATGTTGTAGGCCCGTGTACTTGGATTTGGGTGCACGTTAAAGAACGCCAGGTGGTCGAAATTTGCAGAGCCCTCCACTATGGCGTCTCTCGTAATCATATGATGATTTTGGGACGTTAAACCCCACATATCTATATTCATCAGTGGTGCTTCATGGCAGGTCCTTACGCACCAAACTTTTTACAGCGAAAGCTGTTACGAGATCACAACTCGGGTCACGCGCAGTTTTACGCCGCCGGTGGTAGTAACCACATCGCGTGAAATAAAAAAAACAACCTAGCACCATAGACACAGTGGGGCTCGAAACCTGGGTATACTGGGTGCCAGCCCAGTATTCTACCACTGAGCTACTCCGGTGCTTGTGACTTGTTGTCAAACTTGCCTTAGGCAGGCTTGATGTCGGAAAAGCAATCGCGTTAATACGACTTAAAAAGCGTTTTACAACACTAGAAAAAAAAAAGTCATCGCACAATGCGAATAGTGTAACGAGCGGGGCTGTCTAATGCTCCAAACATCACAAAAGCTTATTCTTGTTTCCTTATCAACTGTGGTGCATGCCCACTTCAGCCATAATTCCTCATCGTAGTCAGCCGATGCATAGAAAACTGGCACAAAAGTCATTGTGTTTAGCAGATACAACGCTTCTCAGAAGAATGACGAAAAATAGCAAAGCGAATGCCGGCCTACTGCCTAAAAGCTTATTATTTCCCTAATGCGTATCAAGCAAGTGTGCTTGGAGTAGTTACCCACTGAGTGTTTTGAAAAGGCTCTCAAAGGCTGCTCTTCTAGCTTTCGCTGTGACTGTGCTGCACCTTCCACGCAAGCCTGGCGTTTTTCGACTCGCGTAATTCAAGTACGTTTTCAAGCATGCTCACTTTGAATACGTAAAACAGAAGTGCCCTCTGATGTTAGACCTCGGCACAAATCAATCTCGCAAGAATTTTGTGATAACCGCTACCAATCCTGCAGTTCACTTGTCCTGTTGCTTTTTTTGTTTAATAAACCACGGCGTTTTCTTCCCATTCAGTTAGTTAACGGGCTCGATTAAATGTACTGACACATGGACCACATTCATTTTGCTGGCCCAAAATACGTGCCCTGGGTCGAGCTCGCGTCTCCGTTCTAGGTGGTGCATTCTACCGATTACTTAGGGTTCGGCATGTAACGTGACTTAGCTGTCACTCACAAACGCAGGCTTTCATTTACTTTGCAAGT